GATTTCCTTCCTAGAGTGGGAAGACGACTAAGATGGCAGATGGCCAGTCAGGAGGCCGGGACTCCCAAACTACTTGAATGCTATCCTGTGGCTGCAAAGAATGCAGCCAGGCTAGCCTGAACAGACTTTCAAAAGCTATTTATACAACTGTACTCTTGAGTCTCTTGGCAACATTTGGAGCACAAGGTCTTTCCTTTACTCATTCAATAAATAAATTAAATTAAATTAAATACCAGTATAGAACAAGGTCATCCCTGGAACTCTAACCTACCCAGTGTCTTTGTACTGCCTTCACATCAGAATGGTCTGAGTTAAACATCTACCCATTCCAACCCTGAGCAAGAAGTTGAAGAGAGGTTTATTTCTGTGGACTCTTCCAGGGGGCAAGGCAAATTCTCCAGCAGAGCAAAAGCCCTAGGCTGGGCAGACTGAGGTGCTGTGCTCATTCTGGTCATCTACTTAAGAGATGATTCTAGCACAGTGAAGTATGAGGAAGGTCCTTCCAAATAAGTCACTGATGACTTTAAAATCAAGTTTCATTTTCCAAATACTGCTCTTTCCTTCTTCCTCCTGCTCCCTGCTCTACAAACCCCATGTCCCCTGTGGTTGGTACAGCTGCAGCTCCCTAGGGTTGCACCTGTTAGAGCCTCTGTTGCAGCTCTGAGAGGGTGTTATTTACTTCAAAATAGCTTTGCAAACCCATGCACACCAAAGGTGGATAGATACTCAGGGGAGGGGAAGGAAAGCAAAATAATTATGTCATAGGGGAAGTGACAGCAAAAGAGAGGTGACACCCAAACTGAAAAAGGGTTCCCTCACTTTAACCACCTTCTGCTTAATCTTTTCTGGGTAGATGGCGAACTGCCAGAGGGCAGGGACCATACCTGCTGCTTCCTTGAATCCACCCTGCAACTGTGCCCAAATTCTCAGCCTTGTGTTTTACTGCTTTCTACATAGTAGGAGCTAAAGTAAGTGTGACGTTTATTTTTTATAATTTTTTATAGAGACAGGGTCTTGCTCCGTCACCCAGGATGGAATACAGCGTCATGATGACAGCTTACTGAAGTCTCAACCTCCTGGGCTCAAGTGATCCTCTTGCCTCAGCCCCTTGAGTAGCTGGGACTACAGACACATGTCATCACACCTGGCTAATTAAAAAATTTTTACTTTTTAAGAGGGGTGCTCACTATGTTGTGCAGGCTGGTCTCGAACTTCTGGGCCCAAGCAATCCTCCCACCTTGGCCTCCCAAAGTGCTGGGATTACTGGTGTGAGCTGCCACACCCAGCCTTGATTGCTTGTTAAAAACATGTGTTTTCCTGGGCCGGGCACGGTGACTCACACCTGTAGTCCCAGCACTTTGAGAGGCTGAGGCTGGTGGATCACGAGGTCAGGAGATCAAGACCATCCTTGCTAAGATGGTAAAACCCCGTCTCTACTAAAAATACAAAAAATTAGCCAGGTGTGGTGGCGGGCGCCTGTATTCCCAGCTACTCGGGAGCCTGAGGCAGGAGAATGGCGTGAACCCAGGAGGCAGAGCTTGTAGTGAGCCCAGATCGCACCACTGCACTCCAGCCTGGGCGACAGAGCCAGACTGCGTCTCAAAACACACACACACACACACACACACACACACACACACGTATTTTCCCAAACCTGGTGAATCCAAAGCACTAAAAAAGGAGCCTGGGAATCTGTATTTTTACTAGCATTCCAGCTGATTCCTATGAGGAAGTTGGGGAAACACTGAAAGAACCACACTTTATAGTCAGAGCAGCCAGGTTGAAGTTCCAGTTTTGGAACTTCTTAGCTATCTAACTGGAGTCGCAGTTTTCTCATCTGCAAAATGGGAATCATAATATCTACTTTGTAGGATTATTAAAGGGATATTAAAAGCCATTTAAAGAGAATAACAAAGGTCTTGATGTACAATGTGTTCCCTAAATGTTTGTTCCCCTTTATCCTGAAGACACTGAGGAACTAGTGAAAGCTTTTGAGCAGATCATGTTCAGATTATTGCTTTAGTTTCAACCCCCTCTGCAACACCCAGGCAAATGGTTTCCCAGCCTCTTCTGTAACACCCTGAGTGACAAAAGATCGAATTTACTATATCCGGAAGCAGTCCATTCCATTTTCAGACAGTTTTAATCATTAGCTCTTCCTTCCTTATGTTGAGCAGAGATCTGCCTTGGGTGACAGAACAAATCTAATCCCTTTTCCACATGATAGGGTGAGGCAATTAACTTAGATAAGGAAAGCACATGCTGCTTGTTTGAGGCACTGAGAGGGCAGTTTTATTTATGCACATATCCAGCAAGTAGTTGATGTGCAGGTCTGTAGTTCAGTAAAGAGATCAGGAATGTCATTTATATGGCAGGATTTGAAGCTATGAAAATAAATGACATTGCCATTTAGGGGGGCAGAACTAATGAAAGTATTAAGGAATAGTAAGCAGGGTAGAAATGGAGCCTTTAAAGAAGAAAGCAGGTAATTCATGGAAACAAATGTGGTGAAGAGGTCAGAACAATGTCAGAGAACCAGCGAACCAGTCACTAAATTTGAAGACTAAGAAGTCACCCACTGATCCCTGACAGAGAGTCAGGCTTCTGCTCCCCTGGAGCTTTCCAGAGCTGCTCAGAGGCACACTACCACATTGAAAAGCAGATGCACGCTTCCTTTTGGGCTAAAGAGAGGTGATTTGAAGCAGGAGCAAGTACTCCAACATTTCCCAACCTGGATGTTGACATAGGTTTCTCAAATAAGGCTCCCATGCTCTATCTTTGGGGAAACACTGCCTAGTACAGTCCTTCCTGAAGATTAATCACAGGCAAGAGCCCCATTTTCCTCTGTTTAAGCCTGCATTTGCCCAACTTACTAAACCACTGATTTTTCACACAATATTACTGATTATTTTGAGGAGCTAGTGTTTTCTGGCCAATAATTTGGCAAATGCAGTAAGCAAAGGGATACAAGACAATAGTTTAAGGGACTATTGGTATCAAGGGATATATTTTTCTTTTTAAGAATGGAAGAAGCTTAAATATGTTTACATGCTGAAGAAAAGGAACCAAGTGTAGAGTGAAAGGCCAAAAGCAGGAACAAAAGGAAAGACAGCAAGCCAGGTTCCGATAAAGGGGTTAGCTTAGCAAAGGGCCTCAGCTCAATGTTTAGCCATAAGACACTAAGTCCCCTGATTAAATCTAGTGATCACAAATGGTTACTATTTTCCTAACCACATCTACTTTCCTCAGAGGATACAGACAATTTATCTAGAGAAGGTTACGGGCAGATTATATAAACTGATTCACTAGACACAGTCATGGTCTCCACCCTCGCCTCAGAGTTAAGCTGAATGTATCCCCTTGAATTCCCTTGCCTGGGCCAGGGAAGAGTGCTCCAGATTGGGAGCCAATGCCCCATTCCCCCTGCCCAGGCAGAGAGAACTCTAACACAGGATAGGCGGAGAGGGGAAATCTAAAAATAAAGCTCTCCAAAGAAACTGTCTTGCCTAAAGAGCAGCTTCCCACGCACACTGGAGTGCCACATCTGCGGGGGCTGGAAGCACGGAACGGAACAATCCTGACCAAGTCATATAAGCATTACCTATTTTAGGGGGTCAACAGTGCATTTCTGATTTCCCCCATCAGCACGGAGCAAGGGCTTTAGTGACAGAAAACAAAACTTTCTTTTCCAGGGGACTGGAAAAATGACCAGTGACTAGTCCAGCCTTCCTACCATCCTCCCTTCACAGTGTGAGGTAAGCATAGCAAATGCTTTCAACACACAAGGGGTGGAGTTGAGGGTTCACATTAGAGAAGATTGTGAAGGGTTCTAGTGGGCTTCAGGCTCACAGATGGGCTCCCTCAGCTCCACTTCCTGCCATAGAGTCAGGGACCACCAACTGAGGAAAAAGAAAAGCAAGCACCATGAGAAAAATTGCAATTAGCATTGACATCCCTTCGCTATTGTCATCTCACACCCCAAGGACAGAGCAGTTGTCACGTTGCCAAGCAACTAGCAAGCACAACTTCCAGGCCAGGTATCAGAGGCCACTAGAAAAAGTTCAGCCCAAGAGTTTGATATGACCCCACACCTAAGCATTAAACACAATACTGTAGCGACTTCTGGCTCAGGAGAGTAATCCCCACCACCTTTCGCTAAGGGCTTTAACCTTGGAGAGATACAATGTACTTGGCACCAGATTTTGGAGTTTTGCCAAGAAGCCAAAGCAGGAAGAAGGAAGCTATCCCTAATTCTGTGAGGAGTCCACAGTATTTGCTTGGCACTCCAACTCCCCAGGAGATTTGTACTTCGACCTGACAAAGTATTATGCTATGCCTCAAGGGTCAGAGAAGCTCAACCTTGGAAATATCTTGGAATAGCTTTCAGGAGCAATATACTCCATGCTACCTATCTGTTCCCTCCACCCCCTCCCTCTTCCTAGGGCACATACACTATACATCCCATGATTCATAGATACAGCAGACCAGTGCAGCGGGTGGTGAGGGGGGAATGGAATCACAATAAAACATTCAGAATGCAGCAACCTGTCAGTTCTTCGGTCTCTTAAAACAGACCCTGTACCAGAACACTGCGATAGTTGCTATGCTCAGATACAAATCCTGATGTCTATCTTGCATACATGGAAGGGGATGGGGGGGTGGCAAGTTTCCCCTCAAAGCACAGATTGCAAGCAAAGTACTTTGAACATTTGACTGATATTTGAATGCTGACTAGCAACAATCACCTAACAGTCTTTTACAATTATAGCAAACTGAAATTTTCCCATACTGAGTCATTCATGAGCGAAAGGGAAGAAGCCAGCTCACAAAAGGGAGGAGACACTGACCATAAAATACACAACCTAAGCATACAGTGAGAATCGTTATTTTAGTACTGGGAGTACATACTCCCTAGCTCACTAGTTAAATAAGAAGGGCTGGGTTGAGCATGGAGCTCTCCTCGTCCAGCACAAGGGCTAGTGCTCTGAAGGGCAACTTACCTGACATACAAGGACCTCTTCTCACTTGTTCGGAGGGACCCAGATCCAGAGCTCATGCTGCTGTTCATCATTTGTTCTCGCAAGTCATGTATCTTCGATTCAAAGCGACTGTATTCTGTCACGGAAACAAGGGAAAAGACAGGAAAAGAATGAACTCAAGGAGCTCCCCTGAGGTTGCATGCCAGCAGCCAAAGAGCCAGAAGGCCCCTTGGCTTAAAAGCAGCCAGAGCCAGCCCACTCTGTCTTTGCTTTGATAAGCAAAGTCCCTCCTCCTAACCACAGAAAGACAGACTTCCCTTTAGCCCCAGACTAACAGAAGGAAAGAATGCACCTGAAAAGGGAGTAGCATTTGGGCAGGTCAAATGCAAAAAGCTCTTACCTGCCTCAAAATCTCACTGATCCTTTAAAAAAATAACAACTGGAAAGAGGTTCCAGTGCAACCTTTATAAATCTTTAGAGCCGACAGTAAGGCCCAAGGAGAGCAGATGGGAAAGGAGACTTTCCCAAAAAGCGGATTGCAGAGAACAGATGGCCCTGAGATGCAGAGCAGAGGGGCTGGAAAGGACCTGAGGTCATTATATCATTGTTAGGCAAGAAGACAATTTTTTCACGATGACTTCTTGGCTGGGGTGAAGGGGGGTGAAATTGGAACCCAGTACAGAGGTAAAAACAAACAAACCTGACAACCGTAACAACCATATGAGGAGAATTAAAGCTCTCCTGAGTTATTTCCCTTTTAACCAATAGCCTCTTTGGCTTCAGTAACACACACTAAAATATAAATTCTCCCAAACTGAGAAGTCGGCGGACACCTCTCACCTCCAAAATCATCTAGGCATTGAGGTCATAAGTCCATCCCTAACCTTACAGCCCAGTGAGACCATCACAACAGCCGGAAACAGCCTTATCACTCTGGAAATGTAATACAGGTTTATGCCCAATTTAAGAAAACCTGATACACGAAAATTAACTCTAGCTGTACAATTGTTATAAAAGGTTTTTTATAGGGCTGCTTTGCTGTGACATTCTCCAAGGACATTTAAAATACAATATTCACACTTACCAAACACACAATTACACATTTTCCAGGCCTATAATTGCCACATAAAATGGGGTATTATCTAAGGCCACAGGCTGTGGAAATACTGGAAAACAGGCACACTTCACTATGACAAGCTGACTTTAAAGGAAGCCAAAATTTATAGTAGGGGTTGAAGGTTGGGAAACTGCTTTAAAAAACACACTTCCAGAGGAAAAAATTCCACAAAAGCAATTTCGTGCACCATAGAGGGCTGGCAAGAAGCATCCCCACCTAGTCCGTATGACTCTACAGGAGAAAACAAAACACCTGTTCCAGCACCTGACACTCCCCTTCCCTCGGCAAAGCAACCGGACTGACCTTCAACTGGGTGTAAGGGGAAATGCTAAAGCCTAAAGGGGAAGGAATGGAGTCAGGCAAATAACCTCCTCTCAACAAAGTTTCTTTTGTTCATTGTGGTATCAATGTAACCAACTGGTTAAATTCGTGCGCTCTTTCATTCATCACACACCGGTGTTATGGTGATTTGTCTTCATTACCTACTCCTGTTCCTGAAATCCTGGAGGAAGCAGTTAAGTCACTGACTCACCCATTAAATGTTGCAGGGGGGTGGTGGGTAGAGAGACAACAGCTGGACAATGTTCCTGTTCTGAGGGTTACATAGCAACCCATCAATATCAATGAGGTGCCCCAACCTAAAGGTAGGGGGTTGTGACCAATTTGTCACAGAAGCCCTGGACTGTCATAGAGCACAGCAACAGGCCAGTCTACCTCTGGAGACCGCCTGGGTGCTGGCCCCACCCCAAGGCTTGGCCCTCTACACTGGGTGGGGATTGTTTCTCATTCGTTCCTTTCTGGCCCTCCTCTGAGCTCACTGGCTATGGGCAGAACCATGTGAGACAAAGATTTCTGACCAGGCAGCCCTTTCTTAGGGGAAGATAAATAAAAGAGACAAAGAACTATGCATTGAACTGTGAACAAAAAAGTACACCCAATCTATCTTTAAGCCATGTTTTCCCCTTCTTGAAACTTGTTTATATATTCCCTTCTTTGGAATTGACTTGCCCGCTGAACTCCAACTCAGCAGCAGGTCATGGCGGTTGCTTAGTAACTACATTTCTTTAAAAATCCTTTAAAAAACAACCACCAAACCACCATTTCCTCAAAGCTCCTAATCCAAGGCTGATAATTCTGGGCCAGAGGGCCCACTTAAAATAGACTACAGAAAAAGAACAAAGCTATTGCTTCAAGGCATACACTTTTTGTTTTTACATGTGCTACTAAAATTTCAAGTTTATTAAATTGTGTTTTATTCACTTTTTTTCCATTTGGATGATCCCCTTAGAGTTCCAGCTCCCCATCAGTCTCTGGCTTTTATTTGTAGATTTATCTAAAGTCTACTAGGCAGAGCAGCCTTTGAATAAATGATTGTTGGGTAAATGAGGAGCAAATTAGAAAACTGTGTCCAAGTTGACACTTCTATTCTTAAACTAATAAACTTAATGGTTTATTTAACTGATGGCTGCCAGCTTCACTGAGGGCTTAGAAAGGTAGTTAAGAAGCATTCACATTTACTTTTGTTCCCAAGGTTAACTGTTGGGAGCAATTGGGGTTTATTATTTTTAAACACCCTTTTGAGATGTTAACAACCCACAATGGGCAGCTGATTAACAGACTTCGTATACAACAAAGAAAAATCATTCTAACAAAAAACTGTTTAGAATAGACTTAGATACTACCTCTTCTTAAATATTAGAGGTATCATTTTCCCAGGACAAAAGCTTCCCTTAAAAAGCATCTCAGTTCTAAGACTTCAGGACTCGCCAAGCTCCCTCCTTCCCTCTGATTTGTCACTAACACAGCCATCACAGCCAATGCTGGAGGACATCTCCTAGGCCAAAGTCACCGCCTAGGAAGCCCACCTGACCAGCCTCTAACCCAGAGGGCCCACTTCAAAGAAGCAACACTTAATAGTATACTAAAATCTCAAGTCTACTAAACTGCTCTTTGTTTTTTCCCATTCAGATGAACCCAACTGTTTGTGACCCACAAAGATATCCATACAGTCATCGCCCTCTTTCCTTTTTCCCAGTTAATCACAGAGAAACAAGTGGGAGGGGGCACAATCAGAGGTCAGTACCAAAGAAGGGTTTTGCCCCAGTCACTGACAAGCTGGTATGCCTCTAAAAGATCAGGATTTGGCACCCCATCCCAGATACACAGAATCAGAACCTACTAAGCAGGGGCCCAGGAATCTGCATTTTAACAAGCATCAATGTGATTCTGATAAAGTTTGGAGCCGCTGGTCTTAACTTACAGAATTGGATCCTGCAGTGTCTCTCAAAAGGAAGATGGGGCCAGAGAGTGGATAAGCTCTCAAAAATAAAATTTGGCAATACAATTGCAAATCCTTCAGGAAAGGAAAGCCCTAAAGATGCCACAGTCTTATGTGCCTGCAAAGAAAGCTGCTGAGTTTACACTTTTTAAAAATTCTATATCACTTCTCCATCCCACTCCCCAGAAGATACCACTGTTGGTATTTTTAGTATGTGTCCTTCCAGACTTACTTCTATGCATATATGGTTTATATACATGTACTCACAATTCACACACAAGCTTTTTTCATTTTCTGACACATCATGAAAACCCATCCATGTTGGCCAAGCATGGTGGCTCACCTGAGGTCAGAAGTTCAAGACCAGTGTGACCAACACAGTGAAACCCCGTCTCTACAAAAATACAAAAATCAGCCAGGTGTGGTAGCACATGCCTGTAGTCCCAGCTACTCATGAGGTTGAAGCAGGAGAATCATTTGAACCCAGGAGGCGAGGGTTGCAGTGAGCCGAGATCACGCCACTGCACTCCAGCCTCGGTGACAGAGCAAGACTGTCTCAAACAAGCAAGCAAACAAACAAAAAACCATCCATGTCAGTATACAGACCTCATTTTAATAGCTGCATAGGATTCTATACTATGGACAGACCGTAATTTATTCAGTCATATTCCAATTGATACACATTTAAGTTGTTTACAATTCTTAATATTACAATCAATGCTGCATTGTGTATTTGTGGGTTTTTTTTTTTATATATTTTATTTTTTGTAGAGATGGGAGTCTCACTATGTTGCCAGGCTGGTCTCGAACTCCTGACCTCAAGGGATCCACCTGCCTCGGCCTCCCAAAGTGCTAGGATTACAGGCATGAGCCACCGTGCCCAGCCTGCACTGTATATTTGAGCATTTCTGTTGCACAGATTACTAGAAGTGAAACTGCAGGGTCAAATTATACGCAAATTAAAATTTTTGATTAGCACTACCAAATTGAACCCCAACATTCTGAAACCCTTCTGACTGAGAATAAACTACTATTCCAAAGCTTCTAGTACTTTTTCTGTTTCTGAAGTGGAGGCAGAATTTACCTTTGAAGACAAATTGATTTTTTGTTTAGAGAAAAACACTTTAAACGACACCCCTTTTTCCCTGCATACAACCAGTGTTTCTCAAATTTTGCTGATGTTTCTTCCTAATTGCTTCCTCAATCTATTTCTTTATACCTTTAATTGTCATTGCCTTACTGTTGTTTTCATGTCTTAATTTTCCCTTGACGATTTTATTATCTCTTCTCTGGGCCACTGCTATATCTCTCTAACTGGTCTCCTGCCCCAAGGCTTTACAAACTCAAATCCAGATTAGACTCTTATTTGAAAAGCTTCCCTAAAGCTTGAATTTGTAGCCCCCCATCCAAGTATCTATAATGACTCAATGAGCACTAAATAATTTTACTTTTAATATGTCAACTAATCTTTCAAGGACTGCTACAACCATCCTCCCATCACACCCAGCCTATCTAGCCCACATCTTAATTACACAGGTCTTCTTTTTGAGCTAGCCTGCCTGGACTCCTTGAATACAGCTTGTTCAGTTCTACCTGTTATTCCCTGCTCCTGAAATATTTCTCCCCTGCCTGACGCTAAACAACCTTTACATTCTTCACCATCTTTCCTACCTCATTTCAAGAAGTTTTATTCATTCATTTATTTATTCAAATATTTTCTAAGTTTGGGCGCAGTGACTTA